GACCTGGTTTAGACCTGGTTTTAGACCTGTTTTAGACCTGGTTTTAGACCTGTTTTAGACCTTTAGACCTGTTTTAGACTTTAGACCTGGTTTAGACCTGGTTTAGACCTGGTTTTAGACCTTGGTTTAACCTGTTTTAGACCTGTAGACCTTTTAGACCTGGTTTAGACCTGGTTTAGACCTGGTTTGACCTTTAGACCTGGTTTAGACCTGTTAGTTTTAGACCTGGTTTTAGACCTGTTTGTTTTAGACCTGGTTTAGACCTGGTTTAGACCTGGTTTACCCTGGTTTAGGACCTGGTTTAGACCTGTTTTAGACCTGGTTTAGACCTGGTTTAGACCTGTTTAGACCTTTTAGACCTGTTTAAGATCTGGTTTAGACCTGGTTTTTAGACCTGTTTTAGACCTGGTTTTTAGACCTGTTTTAGACCTTGGTTTAGACCTGTTTTTAGACCTGGTTTAGACCTGGTTTAGTCCTGGTTTAGAACTGGTTTAGACCTAATTTAGTCCTGTTTTAGACCTGTTTTAGACCTAATTTAGTCCTGTTTTTAGACCTGTTTTAGACCTGGTTTAGACCTGGTTTAGACCTGGTTTAGACCTGTTTTAGACCTGGTTTTAGACCTGGTTTAGACCTGGTTTAGACCTGGTTTAGACTGGTTTGACTAGTTTAGACCTGGTTTAGACCTGGTTTTAGACCTGGTTTAGACCTGGTTTAGACCTGGTTTAGACCTGTTTTAGACCTGGTTTAGACCTGGTTTAGACCTGGTTTAGACCTGGTTTAGACCTGTTTAGACCTGGTTTAGACCTGGTTTAGACCTGGTTTAGCTCCTCATGTTCCGCCGTGTCTGGAGGAAAGTGAAACGTTTTGATCCGAGCACAAACGTTCGCTCTGTTTCAAAGTCCAGACGCATCGGTTCCAGGACTTTTCACATTTTGCTTGGGGACGGAGTAAAGCTGCAGGAGGAAGTTTAATGGCTCTATAAGTGTAAGCCCCGCCCACAGATGAAAACAACCAATAGGAAACAACCTCTGTCCTCCTCACGCAAACAGGATCAAGTGACGCATCAAGAATCTCAGACTTCAGGTCATCACACAAATCACACTGGGAAGGATTTTCTGAAAAAGTGATGATCAAACCTCCATGTTTGTTTTCCCAGTGGGACGAGTCTGTTGACAAAGTCGATCTTTTCAAGTCTTTTGAACCAGATCACTTTTGTTTCTGGTTCTGATATTGTCGTCTTTTAGTTTTGGGATTCATAACATCGTAATTGTTCAATCCAATCCACTTTATTTCTGTCGCACATTTCACAAACGAACTGTTTCCAAAGTGCTGCACAAATACATCAAAAATAACAACAATAAGATGATAAAGTAAATTACTAAAATAATACTAGCCTTAAAAGAATAAAACCAGTAAAATAAAAATAAAAACTAAATCATAGAATAGAAATAAACCAATAAATAAATTAATTAGGGGTGTCAAATTATTGCGTTAACTGTGATTAATTAATTACAGTCATATTTAGCGCGTTATGTTTTTTAATCGCGTTAATCTCATTTTTAATCTCTAACTTTACTGTTTCTGTATGTGAGTTGCTTTATTATAAAACCTGTTTTTATGTGTTGCTGGGACAACAACACACACACACAAAAACACATTTATACATTTTTTTATTTCGCTAATTCCACTCATTGCCGGAAACCCACACAAAACGCGAAGAGACTTGGGCTCAACAGACAATTTGGAGAGATTTGTTAAACAATAAATGACTTTATAATGTCACTTTTGTTTGTTCTATATCAGTCTTTTGATCTGCCACAATAATGTAATAATGAATTTAAATGAAAACACCTCAAATTGAAGCTTTTCTCAGCAATTTTTAGATGAGATTAAAATGAGATTAATTAGATTAATTACAGATCATAATTAATTAATCTCTCAATTTTTTTAATCGCATGACAGCACTAAAATTAAATCAGTAAAACCAATAAAAACACATAAAAATAAATAAAAGACACAGAGGAGCAACAACTCCCGCAGTGTTAAAAGCCAGAGAATAAAAGTGGGTCTTCAGACGAGATTTTAAACTCTCCACTGTGGAGCTGCTCCAACGTGAAGCGGCAGATGGTTCCAGAGTTTAGGCTCGACCACAGAGAAGCTCCTGTCCTCCTGGTTTTAAGTCTCGTCTTAGGCCCTGAGCTGGAGCCGGACCTCGGACCTCAGGGGTATAAATTTGGATGAGGTCCGAGTCGTACTGTGGGGCCAGAACATTCAAAGCTTTAAAAACAAACAATAAAATCTTAAAATCAATTCTAAAATGAACAGGAAGCCAGTGCAAAGACGCGAGGATTGAGGTGATGTGCTGTTACGGCCCCAGGCCCTAGTTCTAATATTTCTGCAGTTTTCTTGATTCCTGCTGCAGGAGTCCTGGTCTGTGATTGGTGGGGCAGGTCGACGCCCACCTCACCTGCAGCCACGCCCCCTATTTAAGGAGATTGCAGCACCTGTTCGGGGCTGTTGGTCTTGGCGGTCAGTCTGCCATTTTGTTTTGTGTTTGTGTGTGGAGTTTAGTTTGGTTTTGTGCCTTTTTTTGGTTTGGTCACTCGATTCTGTTTGTGGGTTTATGTGGTTTAATTTGGGGAACTTGTGTTTTAGTTTCGTGTGTGTCCCTAAGTTTTACCACTTGTTTTTTGTGTAAGCCTGTGTGACCCTTTTATGGCACAAAACTCTGTTTATTCTGTTGTTCTGTTTCTTAGTTTAGGTTGTTTTCTGTATATTTTTAGTGTTTTGTTCATTTACCTTTACATTCCTGTTAATTAAACATTATTTAATTTATTCCATTTTACGTCTTGGTTTTATTTTTGTTTCTTCCCTCACCCCAAACGAGCTGCGTCGTAACATGTGCTCTTCTCTCCTTTTTGCTCCTGTTAAAAGTCGAGCTGCAGAGTTTTGGACGAACTGTAGTCGGTAAAGTGCGTTTTGCGAAATGCCGGAATAAAGTGCATTACAGTCGTCCAGGTGTGATGAAATAAAAACGTGCATAATTTGTTCAAATTGTTTAAAAGATAAAAAAGGTTTAACTTTAGATAAAAGTCGCAAATGATAAAAACTTGATTTTAAAACATTGTTAATCTGTTTATCAAATTTAAAATCACTGTTGAAGATGACGCCGAGGTTGGTGACTGTGGGACGAACATTGTTGTTGGATCCTAACAGCGGAAAACGGCTTGAGAAATGTTAGATAAAACAAGAGGTAGAGCGCTTCACTGGGTCATAAAAGAGTTAAAAGTATCAGTAGAGGTGCTCTACGAGGGTTATGGCAGTGGTCTTAAAACAGAAAACGAGCCGTTACAGGACAATGTAAAAAAGGGTAAGGTACAAACCCGAGACGCTCCCCCTGAATATACTAAAAGTCCTTTATTACACGAAGGGACGCCAACGCTTTTGAACAGCAACATGGTCTTCGTCAGGGCAAAGTGGTGAACATTTTGTATGTGGAGCGACGACAAAACAAAATCCCGATCCCTCGCTCAACATCGGTTACATAGTTTAAAAGTCAACGTCAAAGCGAAAGGCTCCAACTGTTCACCAAGAAACACCTTCCACTGCAAAGACCAAGACGTGATGTTTGTGTAAAACCACAAGAACAAGAAAGTGCAGCTCAGTCTGTTTGTCTTCTGCTCCTCTACATTAACAAACGGGATTTGACTTTGTTGTCGCTCCACATACAAAATGTTCTCTGTAAACTCAGGATGATTTCTTAAGGTTCGTTCACATCAAAGCGTCAAAGTGTCCAGTTTCTATGTAAAGTCGATGTGGACGCGCGACTACAGCGTCCTGCGTTTTTGCGGTGCGTCTTCAGCGTCAGCGCGGCGCGAATCTGGCGTCAGCGCGGCGCGTCTTGAACGTTTTGGTCAAGACGCGCGTCCAAGGCGTCAGCGTCAAGAAGTTGAAAATGCTGAACTTTTCGCGTCAGACGAGCCGTGTCGACCAATCAGGAACGAGTATCCAGTGACGCAACGACGTTATTATCAGGAAGAAAAACCCGAGAACCAGAACCACAAACATGAAAATGAATATATACACCACAAACACCAAGCCGATCACCAGGACTAAACCAGGACTAGACCAGGACTAAACAAGGACTAGATCGGGAGTAGACCGAGACTAGACCAAGACTAGACCGAGACTAGACCGAGACCAAACCAGGACTAAACCAGGACTGATCCAGTGTCATTAGTGGAGTATAAATATAAACTGGCTCCAGTCGTCGAGTCGATTTCCTCCACTGATGTTTTATGTCATAAAAACACTAAAGTCTCAGTCTGGTCTGACATTGTTTTGGGAAAAGATCTGGATCGGGCTCTTGTTTCCAGGGCAACGGACGCGCGTCAAGTATGTTTGTCCTGTTCGTCCACGGCGTCAAAGACGAGCGTCGGGGGCGTCTGAACTCAAATGAAAAGGCGTCAAGGTGTTTTTTGACTCTTTGGTGTGAACGGCCCTTTAGTCAGACAAATGTTTCCTTTTTGGTTCTTCCTGTGGATCAATCCTGCCCATCACCTTCACCTTTCACTATTTTTCAGTTCTGTTGGGAAGAGAAACAGTTTGAACAGAGGTTTGAGTCACACACATCTGATTCACTTTTACATTTATGGAGTTTGCAAACAAATTTCGCAAGCAGTTTTCTGCTGTTAGAACAAAAGACTTGAAAAGATCGACTTTGACAATAAACACATCCCACTGGGAAAACAAACATGGAGGTTTGACGTTCACGTTTTCAGAAAATCCTTCCCAGTCTGGATTGTGCAATGACTGGAAGTGTGAGATTCTTGATGCGTCTATTGTTTCTGTCTTGGCGTTTGAATTTTCACTGTTGAATTTTGGCTTGAAAATCTCTGTACTGAATATTTAAAAGTTGAAATTGTATCTGAATTTGGAAAATATTGAAAAAGCCACACATTCCAGCAACAAAAATTCAACATAAAAACAATTCAAACATGTTTTTTTTTCAGTATTTTAATTCAGAATCTAATGGAACAAACGATCTTCCAAACCCACACAACAAATAAAACATAGAAAAATCGACGTGTCAAAAGCACTTTTAATCTTATTGCTTCGTTTGCGTTAAAGCGGTCGATGTCGTCGTGGTGCCTCAGACCGAACTCTCACACACAAACATATGAATTATCACAACACTCATTTTCTACGTCACCAGAAACACTTTTAATATCGATATAAAACCTACGGTGAATCCGCCAAACTCGCCGTCTCGGATCGTTCCTGCTGTTGGGAGAATTTCCCTTTATCACAAAGATTTCCCAGTTTGTTCCACGTTAAGTTACAAAACGTCTCCTGATTTGTACCAGTGCTGCAGTTGTGCTTTTCACTTTGGTGCTTTGAGTTCGGGACGTGAGTCTGGAGCGTCTCTAGAGCCGCACACAAGAGACAGAGGAAGAAAACTCTAGAGCGGACATCTTACTGCTGTGTAACCGCGTCTCATCTCATCGTCGGCCATGTTGGGAAGGTTCTACTGAGTGTTTTCTCTATAAACTTTTCACCTAATTCCCTATTTATCCCTCAATCTTATTATTATTATTTTTTTTATTTGAAGTGTTTTTATGGCAAAAAAATTAAAATCCATTATCTTCTGTTCGTCTCCATGGAGATAAGTTCTCCATACTGACGAACATCGTGCTTTTTTTTATTGACTTTTACTACACCAGGATAGTTCCATCGAGATTAAACCAAACTTATACAGCAAAATCGACTTTTATTATTTTATTTTTATAGGGCCGGGCACGTTAACGTGTTAATTTTGCGTTAACTAATAAATTCATTATCGGCGACAATTATTTTAACGCCGTTAACGCAATTTTTATTATTTATTTATTTTTTATTGTAAATGTCTGTTTATTTTATTTTGGCTTTTATTTTGAAAAAGTCCATTGCGAGAGTTTGACGTCTTTTCTTTACACTTTTTTCACTTTTTTCTGACCACGTGAGGTGCAGCGTGTCCGAGCCTCCGCGGGCTCCGGACCAGCCGCGGGCTCCGGACCAGCCGCGGGCTCCGGACCAGCCGCGGGCTCCGGACCAGCCGCGGGCTCTGAGCTGCCGCGGGCTCCTAACTTTCTCTTTCTTCTTCTTCCAGACGTCCCTGAGGCGGCCAAATCCAGGTGTCCAGTGCGGTTTTCGTCGCGCCTACATTATACTATTACAGGGTATTCACGAAGGTCTGGAAGATGTGGTGATATGATCCCGCCCATAACTCAATGAAATATGATTGGCTCAGACAACTGTCAATCTCAAATTCATCCCCACATTGACTCGAGTTGCTCGGGTCTTCGTTCCAGCCGCTGAACGTGCTGCAGGTGTTTGTTTAGTTCAGCGCTGCAGGGGGAGTCACTGATTTACCCGGATACAACTGGAAGAAAAATTGTGATTGGTCCATTTCCATTCCATTATATTAACCCTTTGTTTCCCAAAAAATATCAGTCCAAGTTTAAAACAATGATCTAGAAATTATTAATAGTGTCGTGTTTATTACTCATTGAATAAAAATATTGAAAAAAAAAAAAATTAGTTGTACAAAAATGTCTTCAGTGTTTTTTCTTGAGCCTTCAGAAAACCTTGAAGACTCTAAGATTCAACTCTGAAATACTGTTTACACAACAAATGTTTGGCTCTTTCATTTACAATAAAAGTCACTATACTCTACTTTTTAATTCATTAATTGGTTTTGCGTATAACATGAACTCATGCGATTAATGTCATTCATATTTTTAATTTTTGCCCAGCCCTAATATTTTATATTGTTGTTTAAAACTAAATTAAAATTAAAAATCGATTTCATGATGTAGATATTAGCATAGACAGAGAGATTTGTGCAGTTTAAACGTTGGACATGTGAACATCTGTATCAACATCATGAAATTGATTTTTAATTTTAATGGTAAAATCAGTCTGAGTGAACAAGTTCCTTCTGCTTTGTTCATGATCATAACTTTACTTTTGCTCTATTCTAATAATATGTAAGAACACGCCAGACATTTACACTGATATTTAGCTACAGAAAAAACATTAACCGGAAGTGACGTTTACCGACATCACGGCACATCCGGCCGTTGTGAAAAAGGTCTATTGGACACCAACGTTTTCTAACATAAAAATCAGCGCTCTTGATTGTTTTATTAAGTCATTTTAGATCAATATTGTGATTTAAAACGCTGTCCCAAAGCCTGACTGGACGATTTTTCATGTTTCTCGCTTCATTTTGCTTTTCTTTAGGGAAAATCCTACGTTAAAGTCCCAAGATGTCGGCTGCGTTTGTTTCGCTCACCGTCACATGATCCGCTCGAGTTTTTCTTCCTCGTCTCCGCTGTGGTCGGCTGCACTTTGGCTCAGCTAAGCATCTACACACATTTTATTATTATTATTTTATTATTGTTGTTGTTTTAATGAGGAAACGGTCGTAGAAAAGACGAGTGTGAAACAGCTGTGAGATGTAAACAAACAAACATGGCACATACGGAAGAGTGTGTGTGTCGTTTCAACAAGCAGGTTCAGGTTCAGGCTGAAGTAAATAACTCGACTCACAGCAAAAAAAATCCCATCTTACATTTAACTAAAGACACATTACGTAACTTTTCTGGCAGAACATGCACCACCTCTTTGTCTCTTTGGGATTGTGAAGAGATGAGGTCACTTCTGGGTCCGACTTCCGACCAACTTCGCCGGTACATTTTTTCTTGCTTTGTTTTTGTTCCAGAAGTAGCAGTAGTACTAGTTGTAGTCGTAGTACTTCAGTGGTAGTAGTAGCAGTTGTAGTTGTAAGTGTAGTGGGAGTAATAGTAGTAGTAGTGGTGCTAGAAGTAGTAGTAGTAGTAGTGGTTGTAATAGTAGTGGTAATAGTAATAGTAGTAGTAGTAGTAGTAGTAGTAGTAGTGGTAAGTATTGCAGTATTCAAAGCAGTAATAGTAGTAGTCATAGTCTTAGGTGTAGTAGTATTGGTGGTAGTAGTAGTAGTAGTAGTCATAGGTGTAGTAGTACTGGTTGTAATAGTAGTGGTGATAGTAATAGTAATAGTAGTAGTAGTAGTAGTAGTAGTAGTAGTAGTAGTAGTAGTAGTAGTAGTAGTAGTGGTAATAGTATTGATAGCATCTGTACTATTTGTAGTACTGTAGGTGGTTATTTGCTGATGAGTTGTGGTTTGTAGTATTTGTAGTATTTGTAGTAGCCACAGGGTTAGGAGTGGTGGTTTGTGTAAGTGTAGTGGTAGTAATAGTAGTATTAGAAGTAGTAGTAGTAGTAGTGGTGCTAGAAGTAGTAGTAGTTGTCTTCATAGTTGTAGATGTAGTAGTATTCGTAGTATTCGTAGCAGTAACAGTAGTAGTTATAGTCTTAGGTGTAGTAGTAGAAGTAGGTGTTGAAGTATTTGTAGTATTAGTAGTATTGGTAATAGTAGTAGTAGTCATACTACTACTAGTAGTGGTGATAGTATTGATAGCATCTGTAGTATTTGTAGTACTTGCTAGTTATTTGCTGATGAGTTGTGGTTTGTAGTATTTGTAGTATTCGTAGTAGCCACAGGTGTAGTAGTGGTGGTTTGTGTAAGTGTAGTAGTAGTAGTAGTGGTAAAAGTATTAGCAGTTGTCTTCATAGTCAAAGATGCAGTAGTATTTGCAGTGTTCGAAGCAGTAACAGTAGTAGTCATAGTCTTAGGTGTAGTAGTATTGGTAGTAGTAGTAGTCATAGTTGTAGTAGTAGTAGTGGTGATAGTATTGATGGCATTTGTAGTACTGTTGGTAGTTGTTTGCTGATGAGATGTGGTTTGTAGTATTTGTAGTATTCGTAGTAGCCACAGGTGTAATATTAATGCTTTGTGTAAGTAGTAGTAGTAGTAGTAGTATTCGCAGTATTCGTAGCAGTAACAGTAGTAGTCATAGTCTTAGGTGTAGTAGTATTGGTAGTAGTAGTAGCAGTAGTAGTTGTAGTAGTAGTGGTAATAGTATTGATAGCACCTGTAGTATTTGTAGTACTGTAGGTGGTTATTTGCTGATGAGTTGTGGTTTGTAGTATTTGTAGTATTCGTAGTAGCCACAGGTTTAAGAGTGATGGTTTGTGTAAGGGTAGTGGTAGTAATTGTAGCATTAGTATTAGTATTAGTAGTAGTATTTGTAGTAGTAGTAGTAGTAGTAGTAGTAGTAGTAGTAGTAGTAGTGGTGCTAGAAGTAGTAGTAGCTGTCTTCATATGTGAAGAATCCCTCAGTCGTCCAGGTAGAATCCATGAGGAGAAAATTCAGTTTGTCGACTGGACTAAAGTTAGTTTGGTTGAAGACGTTTCTCTGCTGCTTCTTCAGTTCTGGTCAGACGTTGGTGGACACTTCCTTATATCTGTCTACAGGGAGGAGCTAACTACACTGAAACTACTCTGAAACTAACATACACTTGTTTACAGTTTGTGTTTGTTAGTTCGGCCTGTTGACCTGTACAGGGTGTGGGTCTAATTATCAGAACAATTCATGGTCATAATGGAGCTTCCACACCTCTGGTCCTGACCTGGATACACCTGTTGTTCTCTTGTTTGTTTTGATTTAGGTTTGAGGATGGATGGATGGTTAGTAGTATTCGTAGCTGTAACAGTAGTAGTTATAGTCTTAGGTGTAGTAGTAGAAGTAGGTGTTGAAGTATTTGTAGTATTACTAGTATTGGTAGTAGTAGTACTTGTAGTCAACAAGGGCCCCCTAACTCTCTTCCTACTCATTTATAGAGGGGGGCCCATGTGCCGCTTTTTGCCCCGGGCCCCCCAAATTTCTGACGACGGGCCTGGCTTCACCTGCTTGTTTCCATGGAGACAGGTCATTTTAATGCCAATGGGTGAAACATTCCAAGCAAAAGCAAACACAACTCCCCAGAGACAAACACGTACCACCAGAAACGTTACGTAATGCTGCTTTAACTTCAAAAACCTTCTTACAGGTTTAACTTTCGGTAAATTTTCTGCTCTAAATACACATTTCTGAACCTGCTTTTTGAAACCCTGTTAAATATTATTGTTTTGAGATTTCACAACATGACACACGTTTTACTCGATGCGTCTAAAGGGCTGTGAGAGGCCAGCGTAGCGCCCCCTGCTGGCCACGGCTGGCTCGTGTCCTGGCTTGAGTATTCCCTGGACGTGTTTATTAGAGCTATGATATTATTAAGAGCAGAAGAGAAGAGACAGAAACAGCTCAGTCCTGGGGTTTTGCTGATGCGGTTGCTGGTTCGAAGCCAGTTCGCTGGAGATAGAAAAGTCCGGTCTCGAAGTCCAGTTATGATCCTCGGAATCCACAGTTACAGGCGCCATTTTGAGGACTTTTTCCAGTCAATAGATGTAATGTCTTGTTGTAAATCTCTATTGAAACAACCTCAGTTTCTCATCATTTTGTAGACCAGTTCATTGGAGATCGAAAAGTCCAGTTATGATCCTCGGAATCCACTGTTACAGGCGCCATTTTGAGGACTTTTTCCATTCAAATGATGTAATATTTTGTTGTTAATCACCATGGAAATAATCTCAGTTTCTCATCATTTTGTAGACCTGGTCCATGGAGATCGAAAAGTCCAGGTCTAATGTCCAGTTACGGTCTTCATGTTTTTCAGATTTCTCTCATGGGCGCCATTTTAAGGACTTTTTCCATTCAAAAGATGTAATATTTTGTTGTCAGTCGCCATGGAAACCACCCACACTTCTCATCATTGTAAGCCAGTTCATCGTAGATAGAAAAGTCCAGTTTTTAAATCCAGTCACGGTCCTCACAATTCACTGCTGCTCACAGGTTCGTTTTCTGTCATAGGCGCCATTTTGAGGACTTTTTACCATTCAAAACATGGAATATTTTGTTTTGGATCGTCAGTCACCCTGGAAACAACCTAAAGTTCTCAAAATTTTGGAAACTGGTTCATTGGAGATTAAGGAAAAGTCCAGTTTTTAAGTCCAGTCACGGTCTTCACAATTCACTGCTACTCACAGGTTCGTTTTCAGTCACAGGCGCCATTTTGAGGACTTTTTAGCTATTGAAAAGATGTAATATTTTATTTTGAATGACCAGTCACTATCGAAACAACCCACATTTCTCATCATTCTGTAAACCAGTTCATTGGAAATTAAAGAAAAGTCCAGTTTTGAAGTCCCGTCACGGTCCTCACAATTCACTGCTTCACAGGTTAATTTTCTGTCACAGGTGCCATTTTGAGGACTTTTTCCATTCAAAAGATGTAATTTTCTTTCTTCGGATCATCAGTTGCCATGGAAACAACCTAAAGTTCTCATAATTCTGGAAATTAGTTCACTGGAGATTAAGGAAAAGTTCAGGTTTTAAGTCCAATCACAGTCCTCACAATCCACTGCTACTAAGAGGTTAGTTTTCTGTTATAGGTGCCATTTTGAGGACTTTTTACCATTCAGAAGATGTCATATTTTAGTTTTGAATTGTCAATCGCCATGGAAACAACCAGAATTTCTCATCATTCTGTAAACTAGTTCATTGGAGATTAAGGAGAAGTTCAGTTTTTAAGTCCAGTCACGGTCCTCACAATCCACTGCATCACAGATTAGTTTTCAGTTATAGGTGACATTTTGAGGACTTTTTACCATTCAAAACATGGAATATTTAGTTTTGGATCATCAATCACCATGGAAACAACCTAAAGTTCTCATAATTCTGGAAACTTGTTCATTGGAGATTAAGGAAAAGTCCAGTTTTTAAGTCCAGTCATGGTCCTCACAATTCACTGCTACTCACAGGTTATTTTTCTGATATAGGCGCCATTTTGAGGACTTTTTAGCCACTGAAAAAATTAAATATTTTGTTGTTAGTTGCAATGGAAATGTAAATTTCTCATCATTGTGTAAACCCATTCTTCGCAAATCGAAAAGTCCAGTCCTAAAGTCCAGTTATGGTCCTCAGTTTTCAGTTACAGGTGCCATTTTGAGGACTTTTTACCATTCAGAAGATGCAATATTTATTAATTTTAATAATTTTGAATGGTCAGTCACTATGGAAACAACCTCAATTCCTCATAATTTTTGTTCAGTGGAGACTGTAGAAAAATTTTGTTTTTAAGTCCAGTCACGGACCTCACAATACACTGCTACTCATAGATTAGTTTTCAGTTATAGGCACCATTTTAAGGACTTTTTAACCATTCAAAAGATGTAATATATTGTTGTGAAACGCCAGTCGCCATGGAAACAACCTAAATTCTCATCATTCTGTAAAACCAGTCCATTATAGACTATAGTTCTTCATAAATCGAAAAGTCCAGTCCTAAAGTCTGTCAGTTCATTATAGACATTATAGAAAAGTCCAGTCTTTAAATCCATTTATGGTCCTCACAATCCACTGCTACTCACAAGTTAGTTTTCAGTTATAGGCGCCATTTTGAGGACTTTTTATAATTCAGAAGACACAATATTTTGTTTTGAATCCTCAATTGCCACGGAAACAACCTAAATTTCTCATCATTCTATAAAATCAGTCCATTATAGATTATAGAAAAATCCAATCTTTTAGTCCTCAGAATTCACCGCTATTTATAGGCGCCATTTTGGGGACTTTTTACCATTCAGAAGATGTCATATTTTTGTTTTGAATTGTCAATCGCTATGGAAACAACCAGAATTTCACATGATTCTGAAACCCATGGATCGTCAGACAGGACCGGGGACATCATCATCAACATTTTACATCACAAATAATATATAATAATTAGTCTAAATTATTTCAAACATTAGAAATTTGTGTTTTTTTTGTTTGTTTTTTTTTTGTTTATATTTTGTGTTATAGAATTATTTCCATACTATTTGTTATTTTTATGTTCTTGTGATTATATTGTAACCTGAATAATCACTTTTATTGACTGAACAGTTGGTGTTGTGCACTTAAGTGGACACTAGAGGGAGCCATAGCTGTAACTTTAAATTAGTAACGGCAGCTTTGAAGAGGCTGGACAAAAAAAAGACACTTCAGTTTTTTGCCTGGAAAGTTCCGCACTGTGACTTTAAACAGCTCTAACTTTATATTTACTTAATCACAGGTGGTTTTAAAGCTCAAAAATACAAAGAAAAACACAGATTCTCCGCAGATCTGACCTGTAAACTGGTCTTGGTCTGGTCTCCGTGGAGATAAAAAAGGTTTAATGCCGCACTGTGGAACATTCCAGACACTAGAAAAGTTACACAATGCAGCTTTAACTAAATAACTAACTTAATTTCCCTGTGTAGTAGCAGTGGAAGTAGTAGTAGTAGTAGTAGTAGTAGTAGTAGTAGTAGTAGTAGTAGTAAGTTTTCATTTGTAGTGGTACTTAGGTAATGGTAGTTCGGAGGCCTAATGATAGTAGTATTCGTAGTATTTGTAGTACTTGTAGTAGCCACAGCTGTAGTAGTGGTGGTTTGTGTAAGTGCAGTAGTAGTAGTAGTAGTTGTAGTAGTAGTAGTTGTAGTAGTAGTAGTTCTCATTTGTAGTGGTACTTAGGTAATGGTAGTTCGGAGGCCTAATGGTAGTAATATCTGTAGTATTTGTAGTATTCGTTGTAGCCACAGCTATAGTAGTAGTGGTTTGGGTAAGTGCAGTAGTAGTAGTAGTAGTAGTAGTAGTAGTAGTAGTAGTAGTAGTAGTCGTCGTAGTCATAGATGTAGTAGTATTTGCAGTATTCATAGCAGTAACAGTAGTAGTCATAGTCTTAGGTGTAGTAGTAGTAGTAGTGGTTTGGTGCTAGTAGTCATAGTTGAAGTAATAGTGGTGATTAGTGGTGGTAGTATTCGTAGTACTCTTGGTAGTAATTTAGGCCTACTGTTAAGTTGAGCCACGCTGTCCCTCAGTTGTAGTACTTGTAGTATTGATAGTATTTGTAGTATTTGTAGTACTGTTCATGGTTATTTGCTGATGAGCTGTGCCAGACTCTCCCTCAGTGGTAGTACTTATAATATTTGTAGTATTTGTAGTAGCATTTGTAGTATTCGCAGGAAGTTATTTGCTCATGGGCTGCTCCAGACTGTCCCTCAACTCTGGTATTCGTAGTATTTGTAGTATTTGTAGTACTGTTGGTAGTCATTTGCTGAGGAGCTGAGCCACGCTGTCTCTCAGTTGTAGTACTTGTAGTATTGATAGTATTTGTAGTATTTTTAGTATTTGTTGGTGGTTATTTGCTGATGAGTTGAGCCAGGCTGTCTCTCAGTTGTAGTACTTGTAGTATTTGTAGTATTCGTAGTATTTGTAGTACTGTAGGAGATTATTTGTTGATGAGTTGAGTGAGACTCTCTCTCAGCTGTAGTACTTGTAGTACTAGCAGTATTTGTAGTATTCGTAGTACTGTTTGTAGTTATTTGTTGATGAGCTGAGCAACGCTGTCCCTCAGTTGTAGTACTTGCAGTATTTGTAGTATTTGCAGTATTCATAGTACTGTAGGAGATTATTTGTTGATGAGTTGGGCAAGACTCTCCCTCAGCTGTAGTACTTGTAGTATTTGAAGTATTTTTAGTACTGTTTGTAGTTATTTGTTGATGAGCTTGGCCAGACCTCAGCTGTAGTACTTGTAGTATTTGCAGTACTTGTAGTATTTGTAGTACTGCTTATAGTTATTTGTTGATGAGTTGGGCGAGACTCTCCCTCAGTTATAGTACTTGTAGTATTTGAAGTATTTGTAGTACTGCTTGTAGTTATTTGTTGATGAGCTGGGCCAGACCTCAGCTGTAGTACTTGTAGTATTTGTAGTAGTATTTATAATATTTGTAGTAGTATTTGTAGTACTGTTGGTTATTTGTTGATGAGTTGGGCGAGACACTCCCTCAGTTGTAGTACTTGTAGTATTTGTAGTATTTGTAGTAGTATTTGTAGTACTGTTGGTTATTTGTTGATGAGTTGGGCAAGACACTCCCTCAGGTGTAGTACTTGTAGTATTTGAAGTATTTGTAGTACTGTTTGTAGTTGTTTGTTGATGAGTTGGGCCAGACCTCAGCTGTAGTACTTGTAGTATTTGTAGTAGTATTTGTAGTATTTGTAGGTGGTTATTTGCTGATGAGTTGAGCGAGACTCTCTCTGAGTTGACTCAGGTCGCACAGTTTCAGGTCGAGCACGTGGAGGATCTTCTTGAGTTCCTCGTGGTTCTGGAGCTGCTCCTCTCGACTGGAGCTCAGCGTCTGCTCCGCCTCCTGAACACGAGACTCCAGCTCGCAGTTCTGACGCTCCACCTCCTGAAGAAACACAAACAAAAACATAAAACATCAAAATAAAACTTCTCCACCTCCTGAAGAAACACAAACACAAAACATAAAACATCAAAATAAAACTTCTCCACCTCCTGAAGAAACACAAACATAAAACATAAAACATCAAAATAAAACATCTCCACCTCCTGAAGAAACACAAACAAAACATAAAACATCAAAATAAAACATCTCCACCTCCTGAAGAAACACAAACAAAACATAAAACATCAAAATAAAACAAAATAAAACATCTCACAACACAAAACACCAAAACATCCTCAAAATAAAACATCCTGAAGAAACACAAACAAAACATAAAACATCAAAATAAAACCTCTCCACCTCCTGAAGAAACACAAACATAAAACATAAAACATCAAAATAAAACTTCTCCACCTCCTGAAGAAACACAAACAAAACATAAAACATCAAAATAAAACACTCTCCACCTCCTGAAGAAACACAAACATAAAACATAAAACATCAAAATAAAACTTCTCCACCTCCTGAAGAAACACAAACATAAAACATAAAACATCAAAATAAAACATCTCCACCTCCTGAAGAAACACAAACAAAACATAAAACATCAAAATAAAACATCTCCACCTCCTGAAGAAACACAAACAAAACATAAAACATCAAAATAAAACTTCTCCACCTCCTGAAGAAACACAAACAAAACATAAAACATCAAAAAAACTAAAACATAAAACATCAAAATAAAACCTCTCCACCTCCTGAAGAAACACAAACAAAACATAAAACATCAAAATAAAACATCTCCACCTCCTGAAGAAACACAA